TTTAATATTTTCTTTCATCCTCTTTTTTTCTTCACTTTCTTTCCCTAAACCCTAATGACGGGACGGGACGTAGGCGGTTCACCAATCACGAGTTGACACATGGCATAGAATTGCCAATAGGCATGTCCCTCGAGTTTCCATAGACCGAGATCGATTGAACTAATTCTTTCANTGACACATGGCATAGAATTGCCAATAGGCATGTCCCTCGAGTTTCCATAGACCGAGATCGATTGAACTAATTCTTTCATGGCCTAGGAGATACACTTACAAGGAAAAGAATGTGTTCACCGGTGAGCAAACTTCTCTTAGGAGGTGCGCCTCGTGCAGAACGAGTTGAGCACTAGATCCCTCTAATAACAGAAGAAGGCATGACCCTTGTTGACATAGATGACCATGTGAACATCAAATTAAATGCTCGAGGTCGTAAATGCTTGGCACGAAGCACTTGATGCTCGNTTGTTGACATAGATGACCATGTGAACATCAAATTAAATGCTCGAGGTCGTAAATGCTTGGCACGAAGCACTTGATGCTCGAGATGACATAATGAGTAAGGGGTTGGCAATAATAAATCCCCGACCTCTCGAGTAATGAAGTATGATTATATTCTGTTGCCAAGCATTGATGAGGCATGACGGGGCGTACTTAATGTGCGACTTGATGATGAAAGTTCTACTGATGTGATACCCTCAAAAGAAGATTCCGACCTTAGGATGTCCGGCTAAGCTTGATGTACTCAAGTGTTCTCTATGTCACTATTTTTGAAGGTATAAATAGCACTATAAGGCATAACTTAGGTATGCATNGGCTAAGCTTGATGTACTCAAGTGTTCTCTATGTCACTATTTTTGAAGGTATAAATAGCACTATAAGGCATAACTTAGGTATGCATGCTAAACTAGAATTGCTTAGTATTTATATCCTCTCACCCTTGAGCACCGATTGACTTACCCCTTTTTGACTTTGTTCCTTATTTTAGGAATCTCACCCCAAGTTTAATTGGGAGTTGGTATCTCAAATTATTATAAGAATTCACCGGTGTAATTTGGCACTGTCGTGGGAAATATCGAATCAGTTTTAGCGGACACTATGGTGAATTCCTCTTCCTCACTCTCAGGGTACCGCAAAGGATAACCCCTTGTGAGAAATATGAAGGTTGCCCAATTGCTGTTTTTAACGGAGTCTGAACCTTTGGACCAGTCCGATGGCATTCAACAAAACTCCCAATGCACTCAACCCACCTATAAAGCCGAGCTCATGGCACATGCTTAGAGAATCATTTTCGTCTAAATGTTTGGTTAATATATCATTCAAGTACCATACCATGTTGCATTCTCTTTCTTTGTTGGGTTAATATCTAGTAACTTGAAAGGCTACTTAAATGTTCACACTCTTTCATAGATTAGACTAATAACATTAATTACAACCTGCATATCACAAGAATCCTCACCATAATTCTGAATAACGGTAATGGTCGTTGTAACGGTAACGATAATAGAGTAACGGACAAGGGCAGAAACGGACGTTATGTAACAGTAATTGAAACCGGGAACGTGAATTTTTTATTTTCGNGGTAATAGAGTAACAGACAAGGGCCGAAACGGACGTTATGTAACAGTAATTGAAACCGGGAACGTGAATTTTTTATTTTCGTTCACATCTCTTAAAAAACAAATTTATGCATTTTGAACTCTAAGCTTATGTAAATGTAGGCCTTTTGTGATATGTTATACATTTTATTGTATCATAAACAATGTTATATGAATTTATCTTTTAATCATTGCATGATAAGAGTGTTCTAGTGACTTTTAATTGAATGCAATCCACTTAAATATTTTTGGGAGAATTTAGAAATCGTAGTCAATTGAGATTTTATCTAAAATATTTTTTTAATTATGGGTATACATTCCTAAAAGATGGAAAAATATAAGCAAAATATAAACAAAAAATTTGTTAATTCCATTGGGCCCAAGCTAGACGCATTTCTACATTTGGGCCAACTTTTAGTTACCACATTTAGAAGATATCTCCAGTTTTCACAAGAAGTAGGGCAGCTTAGTTTTTTCACACATGATAACCAAGCCCTAAAGCTAATCTCTTTGCCTCCAGCCTTTTCTCCACCGTCCATCTACCCCAAAGGAGCATCAAATTAACAGAGAATATATCATTTCTCTCTCCCTTTTAGTTTAGAAGCCGATTTTGTAGAAGAGGGGCCAGATCTACTCATCGCCTTCTCTTAATTTCTATTCTTCTCATTTCATATGTTCTTGATTTTTTGGTTTTTTGGTAGCAAAATCAAGAGTCATTGATGTGCAACAGCCGTTATGGCTGCATAACAGGATGTAATGCTGCCGAAACGCCACTTACAATCTGTTACGCTGCCGTTACTGGTGTGAATATTTTTTTGGCCGTTAAATCAGGGTGTAACGGTATCGTCGACCTTCGTTACTGTTACGTAATGACCATTACGCACCGTAATGGCCGATTTTCCAAACCATGATCCTCATTGAATGTTTAGTTGTAATCCAGATGTGATTCATATCATATCTGAAGCAGTATGAGTGATGGCTTATATTAAGCTTAGCACTCGATTTAGCTGCTACATCCTGCATCTTGCACTTCCACCCAACTAAATTGTTAATAAAGGTGACCAAAAGTTGACATCTGATCCATTTGATCTCGATCTCCTTCCTAGTCTAGTGTCTTCATTTTTTTTTCTTGTTCATAGGGTTTTTGCCTCTTCATGCATGCCTTTTTTTGTTTCTTTTTCTTTTTTTTTTTTTTGGAGGGTGGGGGGGAGGGTTGGAAAGGCCAACGATGTCAAGAGAGCTCAAAACTGGGGGCATTTTCTACAACTATTAGGGGTTTAACAGTGTTATTGTCAATATCACATGTCCAAAGCACTCATCATGTGCTCTTCTTGCACATTTTGATTCGAAAAGGTATGCTGCATGGACATTTGTCATGAGCCTGCTTAAAACAATTTTTGATTGCCTTGATGTGACTATAGGTTAGTGGTGTCTTCTTTGTTCCTAAATATTAAATGTCAATGCACTTTTTTAGGCTTCTGACCTTGTTAAGTTTGCTTTTCTATGTGCATTTTTGTTGTGAAACCAGTTGTATTTGTAGCAATTACGTCAAGTAAGATAAACAAGGTGTGTGCTATACTATTCTACATGGCTATATTAAATTGTTTGAAATGGGGGGCTTAATCTTTTATGACATACTCTCTTTTAGAACCATCAGCCATATTAGATAAGTAATCATAGATTATAATAATTTCAAGTGCTCATGCTTTGCAACTTAATTCTCTATTAGCTTTGTTCAATAAAAGCGGGTTACATCAGAAAACTCTGATTTATTTATATTATCATTTTGTATTTGTTGAGAGTATACCGCTTAGAGGGTATACTCGTCCTTTGTATGTTTATGAGGTAACTGTAAATACAAGTCGTTGGTGAGAAATAGGTTAAGTTTTGACCACTCCTTTTTTTAATATTGTGTTAATTCTCCAAACTTAACATGATATCAGAGCAAGGGGATCCACAGTTAATATGCAATTAACCCAAAACTTTCTAACCATCTCTGTCGCCTTCAACAAGCCTTTCTAATCATCTCTGTCGCCCTCCACAATCTAAGCCTTTCTCCTCTATCTTCTTCCACCACCTGTGTACCCACAGCTATGGACTAGGGTTGCTGTCTAACCCAATGGTTGTTGGCAGTGTTGCGTTGGAATCATTGTTGTCATGGTGATGGACTTGGAGTTGCTGTTCATGACTGCGTTGTTGCCGTTGTTCTCTAGTTTGCGAAGTTTGGTTTGTTGTGTGAAGTTCAATGTCAGAGTTTGTGGTTTTGCTTGTCGGAGGCTAGATATAATTCAATCATTTGTTTGGATTGGTGGCTTATCTTTCAAAATTAAATATTTCCCACATATTCATAATAAAATATATACATTGAATATTGATTTTTTTTTTAATTTTTTGGGGGCAAAGTGAAGAATTGATGTAAGAGTAGACCAATTATATTATATCCAAAGAACTAAATATAAAATCCAAGTATATAGTAATGTGTTGCTAGCAACGCTAGATTCGATCAATCTCAAACAGGTCTACTAACATACATTAATACATAATAGCATAATATTTTTTTTTTCCAAACAAATCAACACTTTATTTCATTTGCCAAAAAAATTACAAGAAGCTAACCCCATTTATCAATCATGGAAAAATACAATGAATCAAAGAACTACAATCTTCTTCCTAAACGCCTTAACCCCTTGCTGATCTTGTAACATCAGCAACTTTGCCTGCAATGGAATGACCAAGTCCTGGGAAAAAAATCAGTAGACAAACCATGCTTGACAGCCCAGTTTGCAAAAAANTCAAGCTTAGAAATACGAATCATTATCATACTTTTTTCCAGCCTAACATTGCTGAACACCTCTTTATTCCAAACCTTGACCTTTTGCTTCACTTTTCAATTTCTTCATAAACTTAAAACCCTCCCATCCTTGGACCACACATTCTTGCCACCATCTCTTGAATTTCTGCTTAAAACANTGTGTGCTATACTATTCTACATGGCTATATTAAATTGTTTGAAATGGGGGGCTTAATCTTTTATGACATACTCTCTTTTAGAACCATCAGCCATATTAGATAAGTAATCATAGATTATAATAATTTCAAGTGCTCATGCTTTGCAACTTAATTCTCTATTAGCTTTGTTCAATAAAAGCGGGTTACATCAGAAAACTCTGATTTATTTATATTATCATTTTGTATTTGTTGAGAGTATACCGCTTAGAGGGTATACTCGTCCTTTGTATGTTTATGAGGTAACTGTAAATACAAGTCGTTGGTGAGAAATAGGTTAAGTTTTGACCACTCCTTTTTTTAATATTGTGTTAATTCTCCAAACTTAACATGATATCAGAGCAAGGGGATCCACAGTTAATATGCAATTAACCCAAAACTTTCTAACCATCTTTGTCGCCTTCAACAAGCCTTTCTAATCATCTCTGTCGCCCTCCACAATCTAAGCCTTTCTCCTCTATCTTCTTCCACCACCTGTGTACCCACAGCTATGGACTAGGGTTGCTGTCTAACCCAATGGTTGTTGGCGGTGTTGCGTTGGAATCATTGTTGTCATGGTGATGGACTTGGAGTTGCTGTTCATGACTGCGTTGTTGCCGTTGTTCTCTAGTTTGCGAAGTTTGGTTTGTTGTGTGAAGTTCAATGTCAGAGTTTGTGGTTTTGCTTGTCGGAGGCTAGATATAATTCAATCATTTGTTTGGATTGGTGGCTTATCTTTCAAAATTAAATATTTCCCACATATTCATAATAAAATATATACATTGAATATTGATTTTTTTTTTAATTTTTTGGGGGCAAAGTGAAGAATTGATGTAAGAGTAGACCAATTATATTATATCCAAAGAACTAAATATAAAATCCAAGTATATAGTAATGTGTTGCTAGCAACGCTAGATTCGATCAATCTCAAACAGGTCTACTAACATACATTAATACATAATAGCATAATATTTTTTTTTTCCAAACAAATCAACACTTTATTTCATTTGCCAAAAAAATTACAAGAAGCTAACCCCATTTATCAATCATGGAAAAATACAATGAATCAAAGAACTACAATCTTCTTCCTAAACGCCTTAACCCCTTGCTGATCTTGTAACATCAGCAACTTTGCCTGCAATGGAATGACCAAGTCCTGGGAAAAAAATCAGTAGACAAACCATGCTTGACAGCCCAGTTTGCAAAAAATCAGCCAAGCAGTTTGCCTCCCTATACACATGAACCAAACTGAACTGCAACCTCCCCAGAATCTCATCAATCTGCCTCAGAATTTTCCAAAATTTCCATGAGCTTTGATGCCCTTTCAAGACCATGTGCACCATGACCTCAGAATCAGCTTCAATCTGAAGCTAATAACCTAACAGAGTATACTTTTCAATCAAGACCAAGCCATCTCTCAATGCCCTCAAACTCTGCCTCCATATTTGAGCATTCCCCATAAAAGAAAGAAGCTGCAAGGACCAACTGTCCTCACTGATTTCTCACCACCACACCACCCCCTGCCCTCCCAGGGTTACCCTTAGACAAGGATCAAAATTTAGTTTTGAAACGGTCGAAATGTCTGAAACGTTTCCGTTTCTATGGAGATCGAAACGAATCAATGATATAATTGAATTTCTAATACTTCAAGGTGTTTCATAATATTTCGAGGTATTTTGTAATGTTTCAATACATTTGTACAATTGTTTCAAAATATTTTAAGGTATTTCAAGATATTTTGGTATATTTCGACCAATATTTTGGAAAAATAATTCATAAATTTTTATTTTTTTCATTTTGTTTCCGAAATGGGTCACAATGTTTTCAAAACATGTCAAAATGTTTCCATTTCCTAGGTGATTGAAACAGTACACCGAAACAAAATTTTGATTCTTACCCTTAAATGCCCCATCCAATTTAACTTCAACCAACCATTAATTGGAGGAATCCAGGTAATCCATAGGGCTCTCAACTCCGCACTACCACACCATTCTACTCCTAAGGCTTGCAAGAATTCCTTACCCCCCCACCTCCCATTCTCAGGAGCCCTAGGTCTCACTCCTTTTGCCTGCAACCTAAGCACAGAACAAATTCTCAGAAAAGAGAATATGACAAACATATATAATTGTAATAACTTTGTATCCTCACATCTTGTTAAAATATCTCCATATGACAAACAATTCTCCGGGTATCCTAACAAAAGATCTTACACATTTTTCATTTTAAAGGAACCGGCTAGTAAAGTTTCAACTTCCCTAAAAATCCTTGGAGCTGGAATTGGCATAATAACCTAAGCTGCATTCCCACCTTTACACTTCCATATTGAATCAAGATCAAAGTCTTAATTTATTCACCATGAGGCACATCCTGCTCCAGGTTATTAATAGTCGTAATGTAAGCTACAACCTTGAGCACAAATTAAGAACATGGCGAACAAATGAAAAGGAAATCATTAAATCTTTGGCAGTCTGAACAATAATTTTACTTTGAACTATCCAATGATTGCAAGAAAAATGGGCAATAATTGCACAATAAACTTCCAATTCTCTCATGATTGTCAATAGGAAATTGAGAGAGATTCCAAGACTGTTCCCAACAATTCAAACTCTTCGCCAATGGGAAATTAGACCAACCATTTTTACTAACAACCAATTATAAAACAAAAGGTACAAGAACAAATTTTGCACTTAATGCCACACACAACAGAATTAAACCCACAAATCCAAATATCAAATTTCGGACAATATTACAGAAATTGTCACAATTTCTTGAAGTAGTAAACCAATTCAAATACCAAAAGTATGCACATTATTCATTCAACTTAAAATACCAAAACATTCTTCTAGATAACCTTACAATGAAGTACCAATTTCGCAAGCCTTTATTGCTGGATGTCTCTGGGCTTCGGCTTCGGCTTCAGCTTCGGCAAGGCCACAAGCATTCCTTGAAGCTCCTGTGATAATTGCTCTGGAATAGAGAGAGAGTGAAGAGTTATGGGAGACTTGGGAGAAAAGTTTTTATAGAGTTGTGACCGCCATTACTCTGGGCTTTGAGTCATAGTGCATTTGTCGATGGTCAGATTTAAGCAGATCTGGATCTCCACAGTGAACCAGGTCTTTGGGTGATGGGATTTCGTTCGGTCCACAAAGAGAGAGAGTGAGAGAGAGAAACGCTTACCTCTGACTATCCCATTCATCTTCTTTGCGGTGTTCTTCGTCGCCTTCACAGAGAGAGCACCTCATCCCAAACGTCTGTCGGTTGGGATTTAAACCCAGGGGGGAGGTGGGTTAATTTTAACTCATCTAGGAGGGTTAAAAATGACTATAGCATTAGGATCAAGTTTTGACCTGGGATTTATATCCTGTCTCTCACTTTTGCCTTCTCAAACAAAGAATTTGTGGGCCCTACTACATTGTTAACCCATCCTTATTGGTATCAACCCACCTTATCCCACTACCCAAACACACCAAGTAATTGTAATAGTGAAAGCATTCCAAATAAGAGTTTCAAACGAATGGTGATTCCAAATAGCATACTAAGTCTATCCTGATCACATCACATACTAGAGAACGTATCATCAACGATTTTGCCTTTTAATTTTGAAAACGAAATACATAGGAGTCGTATAGGAGTTTATATGCTTTATATAATATACCATTTATTTTTTGTTTGTTGCTGCAAAATTTCGCTGCAGGTCCTCATGGGGATAACTGTACCTGAACTAGATATTCTGGATACTTTCGAGGATGTTGAGTATGAACGGAAGACTGTTGATGTTTCTTTGGTGGTATGTCTTATTGCAATCATCTGTAGGTATCTTAACTAAAAGTATTTCTTGCATGTAAGAATTACTGGAGGAGATTCATGTACTTAGTTGAAATCGAAAAGTCAATATTAGGATTAGGAAGATGTAGAGAAATTGAGAGAAGAGAAAGAAAGATATGAAAGAATAATTTTGTGTGTATCAGCTGTGTTTCCTTACACCTTATTTATAACCAAGCAATGTTTTGAGTAATTACAATATTACCTTACACTAATTAACATATGACTCGATATATAAAATAAGAAAATAAGAACTCTAACGCTCTCTCTCAAGCTGGAGCATAAAGATAAAAAATGCCCAGCTTAGAACATAAATTACTGAATGCAAACTGAGCCAATGATTTTGTAAGAATATCACCCAGCTGATCACCAAACTGAATGTATGGAGTGATGATCTCCTTCCGCATCAGTAGGTCTCGGATGAAATAACAATCCACCTTGATGTGTTTGGTACTCTCATAGAATATTGGATTACTTGCAATGGAAATAGCTACTTTGTTGTCACAATGCATCTTCATAGGAAAAGACACACCAAGTCCCATATCACGAAATTATGAACGAACCCATAACATCTCAGAAGCAGTATGAGCCATAGCATGATATTTAGCCTTTGCACTAGGACGGGCAACAACATTTTGCTTGTTACTATGCCAAGTAACAAGATTACTTCGTACAAACGTACAATAACCAGACGTAGACCATCTATCATCACGACTCTCTACCTAGTTTACATCAAAAAATTCAACAACAGTTGTGGATGATGAAGGACGATATAATAGTCTTTTCCCCCAAAGCACTTTTGTGGTATTGGAGAATATAGCAGACAGCCTCCCAATGAGGTTGACGAGGAGCAAACATGTACTAACTAACTGCACCAACATATATAATATCAGGGCATGTAATTGTGAGATAAATCAGTTTTCCAACCAGTCTTCGATGATACCCTATATCATCAAATGCCTCACTACTTTCAGAGTCTTTTTTAATTGTAGGATCCATAGGTGTATCAATCAGACGCGCACCAAGAGTGCTCGTCTTAGATAGTAAGTCCAATACGTACTTCTGTTGGCATAGGCTGATACTCTCCTTTGACCGGACAACCTCAATTCCTAGGAAGTACCGAAGGAGACCCAAATCTTTGATGTGAAACTGCTTCCCCAAATAAACCTTGAAGCAGGCAGTATTATTTGAGTTATTACCACTAATAATGATGTCGTCAACATACACAATGACAATAAGAATGCCTGCAGTAGACCGAAGAATAAAAACTGAATGATCTAAGGTAGAATGTTGAAAGCCAAACTGAAGTACAGTAGTACTAAACTTATCAAACCAAGCACGTGATGACTATTCCAAGCCATATAGTGCTTTCTTCAACCGATAGACTAATTGTTCTTGGCTAGAAACAACATAATGTGGAGGTTGACTTATATACACCTCTTCCAGCAAATCTCCATGTAAAAAGGCATTCTTTATGATTAGTTGATACAAGGTTAGCCAAAATTAACTGCAATAGAAATAAGAACTCTGATAGAGTTAATACGAGCAACTATAGAGAAAGTCTCACAGTAATCTACACCATAAGTCTCAGTATAGCCCTTAGCAATCAATCGTTCCTTCAAGTGTTTAACTGACCCATCAGGGTGATATTTCATAGTATAGACCCATCGACAATTGACAGGTTGCTTACTAGAAGGAAGAGATGTGAGATTTCAAGTATGATTGTCATGGAGTGCCTGAATTTCGTCATCCATAGCAAGTTTCCATTTAGGGGATGTTAAGGCCTATCGTAAAGAATCAAGAACAAATATAGAAGACAGGACGGATGCAAAACATCAAAAAGGTGAGGAAAGTCGATGTAAAGAAACAAAATTGGAAATAGGGTGCTGAGTACAAGTACGAGTACCTTTCCATAATGCAATAGGCAAATCAGAAGAAGGTAATGCGGTAGACAACTCAAGAGAAAGGACCTCTGTAGTGCGATGATAAACCTGCAATGGGCGGTTAGGAATCTGAGAAGAAGAAGATATACTATCTAATACAAGGGGCAATAAGGGCTCCCCTTGGGTAGTAGATATCAAATCGAGGGCAAGGGTGTTCCCAGAACTAGAAAAAAAAGTTGACTAAAAAAATATAACATAGACACTGACATAATACCGATGAGAGACGGGGTCATAACAACGATAGTTTGAGGACGAGAGTATCCTAGAAAGGATACACTTAACCGAGTGAGGGAAAATATCCCGTCCTAAACCTAGAGGATGAACAAATGCATCACAACCAAAGACCTGATGGGTCAGACGTAAGGGTGATATATTAGGGTGGAGTAATGAGAATGGAGATTTATTACTTAAGACAAAAAAGACATTTNGTCCTAAACCTAGAGGATGAACAAATGCATCACAACCAAAGACCTGATGGGTCAGACCTAAGGGTGATATATTAGGGTGGAGTAATGAGAATGGAGATTTATTACTTAAGACAAAAAAGGCATTCNACGAGCAACTATAGAGAAAGTCTCACAGTAATCTACACCATAAGTCTCAGTATAGCCCTTAGCAATCAATCGTTCCTTCAAGTGTTTAACTGACCCATCAGGGTGATATTTCATAATATAGACCCATCGACAATTGACAGGTTGCTTACTAGAAGGAAGAGATGTGAGATTTCAAGTATGATTGTCATGGAGTGCCTGAATTTCGTCATCCATAGCAAGTTTCCATTTAGGGGATGTTAAGGCCTATCGTAAAGAATCAAGAACAAATATAGAAGACAGGACGGATGCAAAACATCAAAAAGGTGAGGAAAGTCGATGTAAAGAAACAAAATTGGAAATAGGGTGCTGAGTACAAGTACGAGTACCTTTCCATAATGCAACAGGCAAATCAGAAGAAGGTAATGCGGTAGACAACTCAAGAGAAAGGACCTCTGTAGTGCGATGATAAACCTGCAATGGGCGGTTAGGAATCTGAGAAGAAGAAGATATACTATCTAATACAAGGGGCAATAAGGGCTCCCCTTGGGTAGTAGATATCAAATCGAGGGCAAGGGTATTCCCAGAACTAAAAAAAAAAGTTGACTAAAAAAATATAACATAGACACTGACATAATACCGATGAGAGACGGGGTCATAACAACGATAGTTTGAGGACGAGAGTATCCTAGAAAGGATACACTTAACCGAGTGAGGGAAAATATCCCGTCCTAAACCTAGAGGATGAACAAATGCATCACAACCAAAGACCTGATGGGTCAGACCTAAGGGTGATATATTAGGGTGGAGTAATGAGAATGGAGATTTATTACTTAAGACAAAAAAGGCATTCGATTAATAAGATAAATTATAGTGAGAACAAGATCCGCCCAGTGAGGCTTAGGTACATGTGTAACATCCCAACCCGGGGCATAGTATCTATAATATATCCCTGCCTTTTTTTTCATACACCTTGCTTTATATAGATCCGCCCAGTGAGGCTTAGGTACATGTGTAACATCCCAACCCGGGGCATAGTATCTATAATATATCCCTGCCTTTTTTTTCATACACCTTGCTTTATATTTATCCGCCCAGTGAGGCTTAGGTACATGTGTAACATCCCAACCCGGGGCATAGTATCTATAATATATCCCTGCCTTTTTTTTCATACACCTTGCTTTATATTTATCCGCCCAGTGAGGCTTAGGTACATGTGTAACATCCCAACCCGGGGCATAGTATCTATAATATATCCCTGCCTTTTTTTTCATACACCTTGCTTTATATTTNTAATGAGAATGGAGATTTATTACTTAAGACAAAAAAGGCATTCGATTAATAAGATAAATTATAGTGAGAACAAGATCCGCCCAGTGAGGCTTAGGTACATGTGTAACATCCCAACCCGGGGCATAGTATCTATAATATATCCCTGCCTTTTTTTTCATACACCTTGCTTTATATAAATATAAACACATAAAAAAATTTTCATCAAACCCCTTATTGGAATGACTTGCCATGAGCCCTACTTATTTATAGACTGTAATATTGATCTCAAGAATATAGCATATAAAAATACAATTTAAATTTAAATGACATATAAACATGACCCCCATGATGACATCCCAATCGACCCTCTAGACTTTCGGCAGTGGACTCTTCATGCCTTTACGACTTCTCCGAAAAAGTCAATAAAATCATTAGTAAGAGCAAATATGCGATCAATAGTTGAGAGCACAAGTGATATGAGAAACTTTATTTAGTTAGGAACAACCTTAACCACGTATCAGATACTTACTTTTAAATTATACTTCACCTCATACACATTCATTTACATCGCATATACATAATCTGTATACACCTCATCGGCTTTACTTTCACATAATTAAATTATTTGACTCAATGAATACCCCACACGCACACAAACTAATCGCCCAATAAACA